GGCCGGGAAGGGGGTGGGAGAGGGCCCCCAGCCAGTGCCCCCGGCAGCACCGAGCTCCCCGCCGGGCTGAGCTGCAGGGGATGGCAAGGACGGGCAGTCCCAGCCCCGGCCCTACCTCCCAGCCCCGTTTGCTGAACCCCTCGGCTCACGCCATGACTTATGCCAGCTGCTGCGCTGGTGTAATTAACCCGGGCTGCGTTCCCGGAGGACCCGTGCGGGAGAATGATGCCCTGCTGCAGAGTCGCTCCTGGGCCATGTGCGAGTTTAAACATAAAACCTGTCTCATAAAACAAGCCAGACCAATTAAAGTGGCCCCCGCAGCAAGGGGTTCTTGCTTACTCACTATTTTACTGCTGCCCTAAAGAGCCCTTTCCACTGGAGCTCAACTTTATTTGCCACCATTTTATTAACTCTGCAGATGAAACCCAGAAGAGACTGGGGAAAACTGGGACAGCACAGCAAAGCCAGCAAAGTCGTGTATAGCTGTTTCTCCACCATCCTCCTAAGGGCATCAGGGTAGCTCAGAGCTGGAAACCTTTAACACGTACTTTTTTTTTCCAGGCAACAACTTGTGCTTTTTGATGGGGAATAAAGAAAAGACCAAGCGCTCGTAGCCTGACCCATCCCTATCGGCGAGCCCGTCGCGATGCTGCACACGAAGGAAAGGAGAAACTGGGGCAGAAGTTTTTCCTCCAAGGCCCACGTTCACCCACAGCCCCGGGAGCGCTCACCCTGCGATCCCCGTGCCACTTCACTGGCAGCAGGGGAGCACCAAAACTCCCCAACCCGAATGGAAAGCGATGCCTGCATCCAGGGGGCACGTGCCCCACCGAGCGTTCCCACACGGACACCCGGCTCTGGGAGGGCTTGCCAGGACCTCGGCTTCGCCCCCAGCTTCTCAGAGCTAATCTCACGCTCACTCTTCCCACTTGCAATCCCAAAGACTAACCGGTCACACGCCACATGAACCAGTGCCAACTGAGGACATAGCGATGTGCATAAACACATAATTACACTTTGTTTTTTATGAAGGAAGCAGGTTACCTGCCTCTAGGGAAGAAGCATGTTTCATACCTCTTGCCAACTTAAGCATGAACCCAGCAAGCCCAGGCAAAGACCCGTGTGCCCCAGCACTGGCATCTCAAGCAGGCACCTCTCACACTTCTTTCATTATTTTTTCTCTCACAGCCTCAAGGTTTTGATGAGCTCATCACTTCACTTTGGACCTTTCATCTCAGAGTTCACGCTAAGGCCACGGGGCTGCTTTGACTGGGCTTTTCTCCGAATGACTCTTTCTCTAGTGACTCACCTGTCCCTCAGTCTCGGGAACCCTCCCTGCTCCTCCCATCAAACGCCGCTTCTCACGGCAAGAGGGAAGCAGTGACTCCCACCGTCACCCGCTGTCCTGCCTTCGCACAGCGGAGAGAAACGCTTCCCCAAAGCCCTGCCAGCGTGCTCGCTATCCTGACGGTGCCAGAATAAGACCTGAAACAACTCTTTGCCTTCTCCTCACTCCAAGGGTGGCCAGCTCCAAAGGTTTCCTGAAAACTGTCCTTGCCCCACTGTCAGGATGCCAGGGGAAGACGGGGTCCCTGCGCAGTAACATCACCGCCCTTTGCTGGCAGCTTTGGTCCTGGGGACGGGGAAGCAGATCTGGCAAGTCCCAGCTGGTCACTGGGCAAGAGTTCACCAAGTGAGGCTTATACGGCAACGAAACTATGTCAAAAAATGGATTTTGGCCCTTCCAGTTGAAAAGTGGGCATCACAGATATGGAAGTTATGAGCATATAGTGAAGGTATTAGTTATAAAAACAAACCAGCTGTCAAAAAGAAGAAGGGGTCCCTGCACACAGTAGTGCCTGAAGCTGAAAACAGCTGTTTCGGCTGTCATGAGTCAGCATGTGCAGACAGACTAAATCCACCTGGGAAGAGGCAACCTCACCAGAGGAAGCAGCCCACTGCTGCTTGGGGAGCATCCACACACTGCACCGCCATCCAAACTGCATTTGTTACCATGGAAGACATCAACAGTGACTAACAACTTCTCGCGGAGCCGCTGAGCGCAGAGATAGCAACGGTCCTGGAACAGCCAGCTCAAATCACCGAGAGGCCACGAGGAGTACGTCCTGACAACACACAGAACAGAGGCGGTCAGACAGCTTCAGGAAAGGTTTGTCATGTCCCGAGCCAGAAAAGAAGAAAGCAAGACCCAACCTCAAGAGACCGTGCGCTGAGCAAAAAGGGTTGAAAATGGCATCTCCCAGCCCGGCACAGAAACGCCTGGAAATGCCACGGGGTGTGCAGGAGAAGGAGTGCCATGATCCGGGCCGGGGAGCAGAGCTGCTGTGCTCGGACCCGTTTGGCTCACACAGAGCTCTGGCACCTGAGCATCAGTCCCAGCTGTGAAGGAGGCACCAAATAAGGGAAGGATTCTGGAGCAATGACTCCTGGGGAAAAAGCATTTCAAGTTAAAAATTGTTACTTCAGGTTTGGAAGTAAATTTCAGGATCTGGTCTTTATCAAGAGAGGCAAACTTTCTTCAACATCAGCAAAGCATCTGTGGAGCAGAAAGTGGTGTCAGAGTCAAAATAGGCTGCAAAAGACAAGTCCATTAATCAAGAGACCAGATGCAAAACTGCCTGTAACGAACGCGCTGTCTCCGCCAGAGTGGAAGGGACTGGAGCACAGCGGGACGTTCTCCTGTGTCGAGGGGTCTCCTCAGTGACAAGGGATACAGACCACAGAGCCACACAGCTCCGCTCCAGAACACGTACCACACTCATCCCAAATGTTTCCTGGGTTTCTTGGGCAGCCAGGCTTTTCCAGGCACAGCTTTCTTGCTGAGAACTGCATGAAATAATATCCAGGCATCCAAACCATGCCATATTCTCCTTCCTCCCAGCTCAAGGGCTAGATACACCACGTTAACTATTAAGATTATTTCTCTCTTCAGGCAGCTTTATATCGCCCAGGCCAAGAGTAGCAGCAAGTCTGCTGCCTCCCCTGGAGACGGTCTTACAAATACAAGCCTGAGCCTTTATGCCACAGCACCCCAAAGCTGCGAGGTGCGGCTCTGGCCAGCGTTTTCCACGGCAGCATCTCACCGAAATACCACCGAGCACTGACAGAGCTTCCTGAAAAGCCCAAGATGCTGCGGTGGGCTCAGCTGGCAAGACACCAGGAGGAGGTTTTTGCTGTTACGGGTGCAATTCCAACAGAGCGCTGGTGGGAAGCGCTCTGTGCAAAGGGCTACCTGCACAAAGGAGAAAAGACAAAAGGGCTATTAAGGCTGTCTGGCATTTCTGCAGTATTTACAAGGTACCCACAGAGCTGTGGGCAAATTCCGGCTGGGCTAATTACCGTAATCATTCCCCTTCATATACCAGCTGCAACCACAACTGGATACAGAGCTTGCTTTGGCTTCCTCTGGCCACGTGTTCTAGGGCAGGTTTCTGTTTAGCAGTCGCAGCGTCCTGCCCAGAAACGGATCAATTTCTGTAGCATAAGAAGCAATTCCAGTGAGAATCCTGACACTTAACATCGGACACTGCACAAATGTAAAATCCAATTTTGCTATGACAAGGAAGAAAAAGGGAACCCTCCTGTATTGTGGCCTTGACTCATATAAAATCCATTTCCAGAGAAAGAGAAAGAGACCTTGGGACACTCCTGCAGCTTCCTGATCTTTTGGACTGCAGCAGCTTCAGCTCCAGGACACATCTCAGGACTACAAGAGCTGCAAGGCAGCAGCCCAGCAAGAGAAGTGGCGGCATTTAGGAAG